TTAAGTGTGAGAACTTGGTGGCAGAATACACTAACTTAACATTACAGAACTTAACAACTATACAATGTTACGTACAGAACATTTGTTAGTGTTTTCGGGCTCATCGACTGCTATGGTAATTGTTCCCGTGAGTGTAGTGCATGTTTCTTGCGAGATGTGGCGGTGGCATTCCCCCGTTCGATGGCGAGTTCCGGCGCAAACCTTCTAGTGGACTTTTCCCCAATCACGCGGGTCTTTTCAACAATCACGTATCTCCAATCAGCGGGGCACCGACCGGCCCAACTGGGCCAAGATCTAAGCTCCCAAGATCTGGTCTCCCGGCCCAGTTATAGGGTAGTGAATGTAAGTGTGTGTGTGTGTGTGTGTGTGTGTGAGTAAGGGGTAGGAAAGGACAAGGACAAGGAAGAGGAAGGAAAGGTCGCTGGTGGTGTATGGCTCGGTTGTTAGAGTACTGTTCTAGCATTCTCGTGGTGTTGATCGGAGACACTAAGGAAAACTACCGATCAGAGCAGCCGGTCACTTGAATTTTCATCCAGAGAGCGGTTGAATTTGACCTAGTTATGTAACTAATATCGAAAGTCCCGCCAATGTTTAGACTGGAACCCCAGGAACTCCCGATCAGGGGCACTGCAGAGAAATCAGTTGATGGCTTAAACAAGCTGTCTATTAATGAAGAAATTTGGTGTTTATTTACTTTTAATTAAAAACTATTTAAATACAGAAAAATTTATCCTAAGCGGCCTTACGTTTCCTTAAAAATTAGACTGATTATATCGGTTACAACTTAATAAACCTTATAACTTTTCCAGTTACGGAATGCTATTTTTCTTTTTTCATTTTTAAATTAAATGTATACGTCAGCGCTTAAAATTGAAGGTAAATGCCTCGTTTACTTCTATCCTGCTCTCGGTTAGTGTCAACAACTAAATGATGCGAAGCACGTATTTATTTAGAAACGGACATGTATTAAAATAATTTGAGGACCTAGTTTTATTGTTGTTTGGTGTGCTGAAAACGAAATTAATCCCCCCTGGAGATAAGCGACTCATGTTACTTTTCTAAGTAATGTGACAATGCGTTCCGTCGCAGGGATATATTGAAATGACAGTAATTGCCTCGCTCCGCTTCTTATCCTATTAACACTTCTAAATCGTCAGTGGTCAACGTTTAATGCTGGTCAACTTACGAAACGTGCCTGGCTGCTGGCCGCAGTCAGGTGGTCACTTAATCCTCTGTAGGTCGACTACTCGCGACGAACAGGGATCGAGGGTGAACGTACGCGTTAAAGAAAAACCTATCTTCATATTCTTCATATTTTATGTATTATACATTTTGTGAAGCACAAAAATGCTATTCTCTGTATATTACTTTTTACGTGTATTTATTACTATGCTGGATTTTGAAGAAAAACTTGTAGGTTGAAATAACGGGTATACACTATTTAATATTAAGCAGCGGGCGTATAAGGGTTACACCGATCAACAGGAATCGTTATTTTCCTGTTTTTTCGTTGTAGAGTTCGCGCGAACTTTCTGTGCACTCGGACGACCGTTGAAATTCGGTCAAATTCACATTTTAACTGTCGTCGACTGCACAGATTACTCATGCGATCTCTCAATTAGAGGAAAAGTACGGACATATTTTCTAAACTCTTTTCGTAATCAGGGCATGGAAAAGCACTTCCCTTTTCTTATAGTATAAACACGTAGTAAGGATGCCATAAGTTTCAAACCCATAAAAAAGATTTTAATACTGCAACACGTCCCATTCATCCTCAGTTTTCTCCGTAATTTTCTTTTGGGTGGTTATTTTGCAAAAGAGATAAAAAGGCAGAATTAATTTTCAAAAGCACAGTGTTCAAAGGTCTATAGTTTTGTAACAATTTCTTACCTCGTAGGTTTAGGGTAGGCGCAGCGCTCACTTCTTCCGCACTCTGGCACTTAAGCCATTGTATCCACTTATTCCGCCCTCTCGCACTTAAGCCATTGTATCCACTTATTTCGCGCTCTGACACTTTCGACATTATATCTTCAATTTTCGCACTGTGACACTTATGGCATTGTATTTCGCACCGAGTGATTTATTCAGTCATATAATCGAGATTCTTTCATTATTAATATTTCAAATAGCAAGACGGAACCTCATACCGTTAGAGTAGTTGAACGCCGAGTAATGGCTAGTGAAATTTCAAAGTGAGCACTGCAATTATCCCTCAATCTACGTTGGATTAAAAGAGAATATTAGCACGTGCCTTGTGGAAAAATCAATTGGTTTCACAGAAGAATGGTTGATAGTGTAGGAGCTTAAAGAATGTCAGGGAAATTGGTAGATGACAAAATAAGTAATTTGCGAGGTGGATCTCATGCTCTATATTTCCTTCTCAGTTGTACTACTATATTTTGAGTAAAGATTATAAAATACAGTCAAAAGAATGAAATATTAGAAATGTGAATAATTAATATCTTTGACGACTAGTCACGAAGAGCATAGTATTATAAAATAGAAACCAATTATATTAAGAGAAGAAATTTAAAAAATCGAGATTAGTATTTGTAGGCGATAACATCTTTATTTCATCACCAGCAATAGCTTGAAATTTAAACAGTATGTCCCTTCTAACATCATATTGACTGATCCACGACGACACAAAAATGTGTTGGAACTATCGAAGAGTGCGCCAGCATTTCGATCCCCTTCATCCACTTTTTATGAGCGGTGTCTGAGAAGGCGCCTGCCGGATCTCCCAGGCTCCCTTCGGAATCGGGGCGTCCGTCTACCTGTTCTCTCCCACGAGAAAGGCTGTGGCCGCTGCGCCGAATCGCGTGCCGCTGTAAAGCCCGGCGCGGCCGCCCAGAGCTGCACTGCCCGCAGCGGCTGTCGGCGCTACCGCGGGAAAGGCCCCCGGCGCCGCGGCGCCGCC